AAAAAAAATCCCTAATATCAGGTTTTTGTTAAATGATTGATTAAAAGATTAATGATAAGAATATAGTGGTTTTTTTAGGCAAGGAGACTAAAACAAAATATTTGAAAGTTTATAGACCAAATATAATAAGCTTGAAAGTTCYAGGGCCTGTTTGGTATGCCGTATGCAATACAAATTCTATTTTTTGTTTTCAAATAGATTGAGTGAATATTTGTTTGGGAAATATGTTTTTTAAACTTCTTTTAGATTTTGTGATCCAAACAATGGAAATTCTAAAAACAACAATTTTATGTTTGGGAGATATGTTTCAGAATTTAAATTTCAAACTTTAATATATGCAAAATTACATTTAAAATTATAAAAACTTTGAAAAATATGCTATTTTATGATATAAACTCATTGTATTTTTGTTAAAATTAAAATATGTAAAAGATAATATATCATAAATTATATAATATTGTAAAATAATAATTATACAAAATTTATAACATTTATGTTAAGAAATAAATTAATAATATTTTATATTGAACTAAATATTTAGTTGGTAASTACACTAGTTTACAAATATATTATTGAACACACCAACCATTTTTAAATTGAGATTTAATTTTCAAATTTGCTACTATATTTTTTTATTAAATCCCTTGTTCGGACCATTAGAAATTGGAACAAGATTTGAGTCAAATAAGATTGTCTTGGAATTTTAATGTTAATATAACATTAAGTGTACGACATGTCTAGGCACTCATTTAGGGAACTTATATATGCCACTGTGTGAATAGTAGTGCTGTAAATATTGTTCCCAACATGCACTTGCCTAACCTTAATCTTCAATCTTTTACAGCCTTTCCCATGACTCCAAAGTTAAACGCAGATGCTGAGTTTGCATATGGAGCAGGTCACCTAAATCCAGTAAATGCCATTAATCCTGGTTTGGTATATGATGCCACAGAGATTGATTACATAAAGTTCTTATGTGGGCAAGGATTTAGTACCAATAATCTTAGTCTTGTCACCGGTGACCAAAGCAACTGTTCAGATGTTAGAAAAACAGCTGCGTCAGATCTAAACTATCCATCTTTTGCTCTATCAATCAAAACTCGAAGATTGGTTAGTCGTGTCTTCCACAGGACCGTCACGAACGTCGGGTTGCCAGTGTCGACCTATAAAGCGATTATTCAAGCTGCCCCCGGGCTCAAAGTTACAGTACGACCCGCTACTCTTTCTTTCAGTTCTCTTGGACAAAAGATATCTTTCACTGTAAGGATTAAAGCAAAAACTGCTGGGAAGCTGATTTCTGGTAGCTTAACCTGGGATGATGGAGTGCATCTGGTGAGGAGCCCCATTGTTACATTTGTTAATCCATTATGAGAGGTTCACGTGCTTGTTTATTATTGTTGGGAAGTACCCTTTTCCTTTTGTTTAGAACATGCATAAGGAATTTGATGATTATATGAATAAATTCTTCTTTATGAATCATTTGAAAATTTGAAGGATATTTGATATTTGTTATGATTGTTAAAGATATTGAAAACGGGATACTAATCATAGAGAAACAAAAAAAATAAGGGTGAGAACTGAAAATTAATGATTTGATATGAGAATTTCCTCTAAGGTGGAATGAGAACTAGCCCCAGTGGCATGAGTTTAAATTATAAATTTTAATTTAGTCTATTACTATCTATTGTATGACTATATATTATTGTGTCCTTCAGTTTCAGTTATTACTACTTGTGATTTGAACAAACTTCATTTTTCATGTATCACACAAAATCATCTTCAAGTTCTAAATTTCACATTTTCATCACCATATATCAAATGCCCTCTGGATAACAAAAATGAGAAATCTTCCTTCTTGAATAGGATAAAGTATCCTTTCCTATATTATTCTCCTGGATTTGTTCCACATCTTTGTTCAGTTCTCATTATTGACTTTAAAACTTAGAATCTTATCCGTGAATCTGAATCGCTTCATCTTCATCCGATTACAATTGCCTGCCACGGTGCTACCCAATTCGTCACAACGTTTTCCATTCACAGAACTTACAGATACTGAAAACAATAATTCATTGAGGATGGCAGATTCCTTCAGGGAACCATCTCTTTCTCATCGGTATCTAGACCATGTATTACATTWCCAGATTCTTAGAATATTTGCCTCTAGAGATATTAGAAGGAGATGCAATCCCAGCCTCTTCCTCTTGGGGGGAGTATATTCGATTTATTGAAGAATTTAGCATATCAGAAATGGGGAATCCTTCAAATTGACCTCAACCCCTTATCCAATCCTTCTGGAGCCAACGCCCTTTCTCTCTCTCAAGGATCAATAAGGCTATAATGCCTCATTGACTTGTGTTGCTTGTTCCTACGAACCAACTCTAAGTCAAACATGCATAATTTTGAAGTTTTTGGAGTTTCTATAAATAGAGCATAAACTTTGGAGTTTCTATAAATTAAACACCAAAAAGAAGTGCATTATATGGTATTAACTGTCAATTCTTTTAATTATTTCTTAGCCATGTTTTATATAATCTCAAGATCCCTCTTATTTAGATGCGGCGTGAGTTTATTTACCTATGGTTCRGGAGTCACAAAGGCAGATTTTGTGAGGACATTTGAAAGGCAGAAGAGAGCGGGGAAAGAAATGGGATTTGTGAAAACACAGATGGATTTGGATGGGACAATGAAGCTTGCCCATCAGACAGTGAAAACACAGGTCAAAGAGGTCGTTATGGGACATGTGGCGGATCRAATTTGGGAGTTGCAGAAGGACCACTTAGAACCAGGGGAGATGCACCCATATTGAAAGAGAAAAGAGGGGGAGAGAACTAAATGTGGGCACATGGAGATGGAGAATCATTGATTTGCACCGTCATTTTTGGGGCTTATAAATTGGCTTGAGCTGTTTCAATTCTTGTGTCTGATATCTTCACGCGGGTCTCTGCTCCATCGCTCTCTGTTTCTGCTTCATATTATCTGTTTGTTTGTTTGTCTAACTGGAAAATCTTATCGAGTTCCCTCCCCTTTTCTCTTTTCTGTATATGGCTGTTGGCCGTTAAGAGATAACTATCAAGTTAAGGCAGTAGTTTTGTTCGTTGGCTGACAGAGAAAGCTCCAAGTTTTATGTACTATGGAGAAMAAGAAGCAAGTGGCTGCCTCTTCATCTTCAAGTTTGGATCATCTTTTTGGTCCCATGGACTCAAATTCTGCTTCTTCAACATCCACAGCTGGATATTTTGGCTCTATTTTCCCACCACCGGTACTTCAATTTCAACTACTAGTTTTATTCTATTTTATTTTTTAATCTATCTTTCATACTCCTCTCTCTATTAAGATGTGGATTTCCTGAACTGGGTCACTTTCAGCATTTGCTTGTTGATTTTGCATGTTTCAAGTTGATGATATGACAGCTTAAAACTAGGTTGAACAGAAATAAGAAAGCGTTCTAGTAAGGAAGCGAAGTAATGTAAGCTTAGTTTCCTTCTAATGCAGAAAAAAATACTTGTTAAAATGGAAGCCAAAGTGGTCCTATTCTGATCCGTTGTGTTCAAATATAATTTTCTTGGTATTTATAAAGCAAGCTTTGAACTTTTCTTCTCTGGTTTTAGGTGGTGGAGAGGGAGAGAAAACAGGATGTTGGAAATCGAGYTGGCACTTGCAATGTTGGGAATCCAGGTTTTTTTCCCTTCAAAAACTAGAATATTAACAAAATTCCCTCATCAATGGATTAAGAAGCCTATGTCTATGTTTACCTGAGCAATCTCCCACAGTTCTCTCTGTTGACTAGCTTTGCAAATGTAATTAACTCCATGTTCTACTGGCTTTTGTTCCTCTCAGATAATGCTTCTTTAAATGGCAAAAATGGAACCGGTGGTGCAACTGGGAAAGATGCAAGCTCCATGTATCAGAATGAAACTATGGGACCAAGTTACTTTAGTTCCTCCATCCTTTATGGTGGCCAAGAAAATTACTCCCCAAGAACCAAGGCCTCAGAATCCCACCATAATGTAAGCATTACTAGATGATCATTATGTCATCTTTTTGGTATTTTATGTTTTCGGGAGTGTTTGGGTAAAACTAGAAGGCTCTGTTTGGATCTTCACAGACAAATAGATTTGATAACGAGTGACATTGCTTTGGAAACTGTAACTGATTTATTGATTACTTGATTGCTACATACTGATGTTATGATCTCGATACTTGATCAGTTTAAAAAAGAAGGGAAAGACGACGAAGTAAACGGAGGCAATCCTAACTCTGCTTCAAGAGGAAACTGGTGGGAGGGTATGACAACTTCCATGGATTTACTGTTGAAAGACAAAGAGATGATGGTGTTTAAGACGAATATTTAACTTGCAATCTCTGTTTTTTCAGGTTCTCTTTATTACTAACACTCCAATTATAATGGGGTTCCCCTCCCATTTTGCATAGGTAATTCCGAAATATCCTCTTGGTAACTCCTCGGTGGAACCCGTCCATCTCGTGTTTTCCACGAATGTTTTCCTCCGTTTAGATATATTTCAGATCATTTTATGSATGAAATCTGAAGAAGTGCTTTTGCTGTCCTTGGCCCATCATCCAGTTGACTGACATTCAGTTATTTGATTGTGTTTCAGGATCTGGTGACAGTATAATCTACATTACATTATCAGGAACAAGTTAAGCTACCATAGTAATAAAAAGTAGAGTTTGAAGAGGTCTGCAAGGTTATGGTCAAAGAATGAAGCTGTATGGTTCATTTTGTTCCATTTAGTCAATTTTGGGAGGTCGTATGCCGTATGGTTCCCACACTAGCCTTCCCCATACACTCTATGAACATAAAGCATTCGCCACAATTAAAAAGATTGCCAGAAAACTGATGATCTTGTGAGAATCTTCCATAATATATCTTCAATGGGATGATGAAACATCTTTCTTTCAGATGGGTTTTATAGTGAAACAAGGGAACTGCCCATTTGAACTTTTTAGTCAACATATAATCTGTCGAGTACTTTTTTAAAAAAAAAATAAATAAATAATTGAATTGCTCATTKGAAAATTGAAGTGAATGTACACTAAAAATGAAGTTAACTAGATATCCAATCCACATTTGATCCTCCCAAAAAAGGCCATTAGAGCCCAACCCAGATCATGCATGGAAATCAAGTTCCTCAAAGTTTTTTCTTTTTTTGACAATATCAAGTTCCTCAATTGCAATGCCGTGCCGCTTAGGTCGGATTTCAGTTCGGCTAAGCATATGTTTTAGTCTATAATGTTTGAGTCTTTCTTTATTTAGTCTCTATTGCTTAATTAAGTTATTAATTTTTTAATATTTTTTTAATTAAGTCTCTCACCATTTGTAAATGTTAAAATTAGTTAACAATAAACTTACATCACGTAATATTATGTGAAGTGTGAAATATTATGTGAAGTGTGAAGTGGCAGAAATTTAGAAGAGATAAAAGATCAGGGAATAAAACTAAAAAATTTTACCATTTTATTAGAAAATTAGATGATGAATTAGAAACTTTTCCGATGACCCTTTTTGTTTTCTAAATTTTCGTCAATTCACTGWGTGTTATCCCATATAAGTTTATCATTAGCTAATTTTAATATTTACTAACGATTAGGAACTAAATATGGACCAAATTAAGGAAAAAAAATACTCAAACATTAGGGACTTAACTTTTTGGGCAACTTCAAATGTTATGACATTGCATTACAAACGAGGATGAGATAATTTTAACCTACGAATCATAGAAGCACGCATTAATGTTTAATTACTCGAGGTATGCTCAAATTCTGCATTTTTTCTTTGAAATAAATAAAGGAGTACTRAGGRCCCATTTAATAACTATTTCATTTCTTGATTTTTTGTTTAAAGATTTATGTTTGATTTTTACAAATTTTTTGGATATATTTTTCAGTTTTCAAAATTTAGCTAAGATTTTTAAAATATTTTAATTCTAAGTTTAATTTTTAAAAAACAGAAAAACTAGAAATCAAATGATTATCAAATTTGGACTAAAATATTTTTCAATAAAATAATGAATCATTTATTAATTTTTTTTTTCAATAAGTCATTTATTAACTTTAAATCATGGTTAACATATCTTAATTTTGAAGCAACTTCAAAAAAAAATTCCACTAATAGTGCATGAAGATTTTTCCTCAAAGAAAAATTTAAAATCTTGAGATAAATGGCATAAAAGTTGTCTTTTAATTATTATTATTATTATTATATCTACTTTAGAAAAGGAAGAAATTAAAAGTGATTCTCAATTATAGTTTCCAATTTCTTACAAATGTTGCTTAAAGTACACGCTACGTGAAATTGAAAACACGTACCATTCCCAATTTCCGGCTTCTTTTATTTATTAAAAGTGATTTCTCAATTATAGATATTACGAATTTTTTTTATTAAATCTTTATTTCTCAATCATTTAAAAGATTATAATAATAGTACTAATTGTAAGCTAGAATTGAAAGGTTTAAATAACTACTTCTATATCTAGATTTTAAATATCATTTTATTCTCCAAATTTTTAAATTTATTTTATTTTATTTTTTATCTATGAACTTTCAAATGGTACTATTTGACCTGTGAAATTTAATAAAATTATAATTTTGGTCAAAAATATTATTCYTGTCACATAATATTTGTCCAACCAGTATCCTCCTAAGTCAATTTGTATGCTCTAAATAAATACATGTTCATGTCAACACATTAATTAATACACATRTTCAAAGTTAAATCAACAAAATTATTTTTTAAAAGTAAGAATCAATAGAATCTTTAAAAAAAAAATTAAAGTATAATAAACATGAAAGTTTAAGGACCAAAACAAATATTTTGAAAATTTAGAGACTAAGATAGAATTGCCTTAAAAATTTAGAGACTAAAATTTCAGATTTTAACATTTAAGTTTAAAAGGAAACAATATCGATATTACATTCTTTTCATTTTGTAACACGGTAACAGTTACAAGTATATCAATATATCTTATTTATTTTATTTTGTTCTAAAACATACCAACATTCTACTTTAATCTCAAACTTAATAATGAAAAGGAAAACAAAAACAAAAATAAAATTTTGCCCTAATCATTACTTTTGGTAAAATGTTTAGGCCTCGTTTGGTGACGTTTTTCATATCTTATTTCTTTTTATTAAAAGAATAAATAAAAAAAATGAAAGTATTACTGTCAAGAAAAAGAGAATATTAGACCCTTAAAAACTAAAAATAAGATTTTAAAAAGTCTAGATTGTATAGTATTTGAAAATATTGAAAAGAAATAAGGATGAATTTGAGCAATTATTTGAGTTGCTTGTTATATCAATTGGGTTACCATATCTCTCAATCTATTAAAAGAAAATGCAAAGTGAAGAAAAGCGATATTCCTAAGTAGGGAGAAACTTGAGCTTCAATGCAAACACGCAATGCCACATTTGACTAAACACTAATAAATGTCTTATCAACTTTTTCAAACCAAAAAAAAAAAATTTCGAAAAAAACAACCGCCACTGCCTCCGAGAAAGAAAAAGAAGGTTAAATCCCAAATTTAATCTTTGAATTGTGTCTAATATATCGATGAGACTTTAGACTTTGAATTTTTATTTTAATATTTTTCTTAAAAGTATTAACTAAGTATTTAAATTTTCAATTTTGTGTTTGATATATCTCTTATCTATCATACATTTATTGAAATTTACGAAACTTTTTTTTGACAAAAAGAATTGACGAACTTATTAGATATAAAATCGAAAGGGAAAGGTTATGGTATTATTAGACACAAACTTCAATTTTATGTTTAATCTTTTTGTAAATTTTTAAAAAATGTTGAATAAATGTTGAATAGGTTAATCATCTATTTCCTTTTTAAAAAAAGCTCAATGTTATCTATTCAAACATAGAATTGAAAGTTTAGTAACATATTTGGTATTTTTATAGTTCACAAATCGATTATAACTTACCATCAACATTTAATATTTAATTTTGTTTATGTACTGTGAGAAGTGTAACTGAGTCTGGGTGTTAAAATGTTTCTAAACTTTAAGTTAATTAATTTTTTAAAAAAAGTAGTTTTTATTTTTAAAATTTGGCTAAGAATTAAAATATGTTTGGTATAAAATAAAAAACATAATGAAAAAGTAATTAGAAAACCTACATAATTTATAAAAACAAAAAATTAAAAACCAAATCGTTAAAACAAACCTTAGAAATTCATTTGCTTCTTAAGTTGTTTAGATTTCTAAACGTAGGTTGTTTATTTTATCCCTTTCTTTTTCTGTAGTGAAAATAGCTTAACGTTACAAATAAAATTATGAAATTAATTAAAACATTATAAGAGGTAAATTATATGGACTAAAAATATCTGTTTTGACCTATAAAATGCAATAGGTTGAATAATATGGTTGCAAATTAAGAGTAACATAACACTTATCATAATTAAATTTGATTTTCAATCGTAATAATACCTTAAAACTCAGACCAAAACCCATGTTTCTCAACTAAAGTGACTTGTCAAACTGCTCCATCATTAAAATATTATAAAAATATCTCACATTCAGAAAGTTCATCAGACGAACTATTGTATTCAAATAACTTGTTATATTTGATTTTGATTATTCTTCGGTAATAGCTGGTTAAAGACAATGATTAAACTTTGATCAGAAGATGGGGATTAAATAATGCAAACTTTCCACGATATGAAGATGAAATTGAAAGGATGATTAGATTTTACGGAGCTCAAATCATCCAGAAGACTTGCTGGAAAGCAGCAGCACGTGACCGGGCCAAGAAGTTGAGAGACAATGCCTCGGTGTTATATTTGGGTGCTTAGGTGCTGCCCACAATGCCACAACATTATCTTACAGCACTGTAGCACTACAACTTGAAGCATCTACTAATTCCAAAGCACCAATGGGGCCATTTATAGGGTCACAACAGTATGGTTCCTGCCGCTAGAAAAATACTCCTGGGAGCTTCTTATTTAAATGATGTTTTTCCTTTCTTTAGACATGAGCCACTATGATCAGCTACCGATAACCACTTAGAAGTGAGAGAGAGAAAAGTAAGACAACAATTATTCTCTGAGGCATATCAGGGAGATACACAGTAGAGAGTTCGCCGTATAACTATTTTTATGGTTCCTTGGAGAGTCAGGTATAGTCATTTTTGTGGTATCTTGAGAGAGCTTTGTGGTGCGTTGAAAGATCCAATTATAATTTTAATATGATAGTAGAATTTGTTGTTGAACAAGGTTGGACGTAGTTCCAAGCTTAAGATAGACTAGTATAAACTCTGGTGCTAATTTTGTCTTTTTTTTTTTTTGTTTTATTTTGTCTTTCCTTCTACTTCTATTATTGTTTAACTGAGAGGATCTGCTTCGTCCTACCAAAGGAAAATTGGTTAGGTGGTTATTATTAGATTGCTAAAACTTTACCAATAGCAAGAACTAAAGAATAGGGATTGAGAATATGTAGTTTAAACCATGCAATGTACTTTGACCCCACTTGGTGTCTCCTATTGGAATTGGCATATACTTTAAAAATAAGGGAACTCGTCATCCAAGCACGTGGGCGAGGATTGTTTTGTCTATGAATTATTTGGCAAAATTGTTGAAATTATCAACACCCAATATGGGCTTAGAGAGGAGGCAAGTGGGTGGTTGGTTTTGAGGGCTCTTTTTTTATGATGCCTCCAATTTTCAGCCAAATTGCATCAACAACAAATAAAGCATTATTTCACAATAAGATATACATTTACATATATATGTGGAATATATTTTTGGGGTTGGAAGCCATTTTGAGTGGCTATGGCTTTTTGGTGCCATTTCCCATGTAAATGCAAAGGGAAGAATTTGTATTGCATTTTGGCTCAACTTGTGTAACCCATATCCATAACTTAAAATGGGCATGTGGACTTTTCTAGTGGGTGT